AATAAAGAGAAAAAAATGGGAAAATAATATATTGCTAAGCACCAGCTTCTAAATTTCCCCTAAGTTCTCCTGGAAAATAAAAAAGTGGATTCCTGAAACTCAGTGCTTGATTTGGAAATGTGCCCATCTGTAGGAAGAGGGAAAACCATAGTAACTTTATGTGGGAAGCAGTAACTTCATCAGTCTAGCTTCATTTAAAATGGTTCTTTATCTGACTAGCCTGAAGTTATTTTGTGAGGACAACAATAAAACTCCTAAATTTCCAATTTAGAATTTGTTATTCAACAAATATATGGTTCATAGAATTTGAACAAAATGGGATAGACAAAATCAATAAAAGCTTCCTTTTATAACTACTAAAAGAGACCTGGAGAAAGGGTGGAAAGAAGTGGTTTAAATTTTATAATGGTGTGACAATATAATATCCATTTCCTTTAAAAAAAAATCTTAGTCATAATGACTAAACAAAAAAACTACAATTTATCTCACAAAAGAAATAATTCTATCTAGATTTGTAACAAATATGTCAATTTATGATGGCATAAAGTTGAGTGATACTATGCTGTTGTGAATTATAACATTTTTTTATTTAGAAAATTTACATGGATGCTCTTCTCACATATAAACTCTGGATGACTAACAACAATCAATTAGAAAAACATAACTTCTACAAATTAATACAGTATTCTTCCCTCCAACCAGAATTTAAAAGAATCATAGCACAGTTACAAAGGCCTTATAAACTCACCCACACAAACCACACCTACACTGGACTCATCTAACATCCTGGCCCAGTATCTCAGGGAAAAGCAAAGTCTTCACAGCCTTTTGGAAGAGGCCCTCTGGATCCAGTGGGAGATTGTTCTATGGGGCAGACACTGAGATAGAAAAGGCTTGACTTCTTGGTCCCACAAGATGACATTATTTCATAGACAGGACCTGGAGATTACTTGTCCTGTTGGAACTGGTGGATAGGCAGAAATCTCAGAGATAGGCAGTCCTGCAAGCAAGTTGGCCCTATGCCATGCAAGGCTTAAAGATGATAAGCTATATGTTGAGTTGTCACTGGAAGCATAATTGGAGCCAGTGCAGTTCATGTAATAACAGCGTAACCCAGACAAACCTCAGTATACCCAAAACTGCCCATACCACTGGATTCTGGACCAGATAAAGCATCTAAGTATTTTTTTAAGGACAGTCCCATATAGAGCACATTACAGTGATTCAATAGGGAAGGGATGAGTAAATGTAACCAGGGCCTCCCAATTCAGGAATGAGAGGATTTGGCACACAAAATGAATTTGTCCCTCCCCTGCCTCTGGAGCCACTAGCTATTCAAACAGGAAGCATAAGTCTAGGACAGTGGTTCTCAATCTTCCCAATGCTGCAACCCCAACCATGTGGTCGTAAGTCAAGGACTACCTGTATTTCCCTGCAGGCGGGGCAGGAGGAGGCACGCACGCTCCGCCTCCTCTCCTGCGGCTGCACACGGGCCGTCGCCCAGCAACCACCTCGGCCCGGGAGCGCTGCGCATGCGTGGTGCTGCCCCCTGCGCTGGCCGAGGCGTAGCTGGCAAACGGCAGCGATGGCGCAAGCCGACCACCTCCCACCCCTGGCCCTCTTTTACTTACTTTTTGTAGTTGCTCAGCAGGGAGGGAAGCTTTCCAGAAAGTTCGCCTTGTAGCACCGTTTGCAGACTGGGTCTTTTGGCAGGCTCAGCAGGGCAGAGAAAGCCTGGACAATTCCTACTGGCTTTTGAAAGCCAATAGAATTAGACTCTATTCAAGAGAGTCTATTCTATTGGCTTTCGAATGCCAATAGAATAGAGTCTCTTGAATAGAGTCTATTTTATTGGCTTTCAAAAGCCAATAGAATAAGAGGGAGTAGCACAGCTAAGGAGAAGGGGGAAAAAATGGCGGAAGCCTTGTTTGGCGACCCCTGTGAAATGGTCGTTCGACCCCAAATGGGGTCGCGACCCATAGGTTGAGAACCGCTTGTCTAAGAAGACTCCCAAATTGTGTATCAATTTCAGTGGATTGCTATCTCATTGAATATTAAAAGATGAAAAATCTCTAGAATCGGGAAGCCCCAAATCACTGGGTCTTGATAAGTGACTCATATAGCCACTGGGCAAACGTCACAACAGCATCATTTATCCAATCAAGGATAGAGATGAATAATTCAGTATCTGTTGGAGAGGGGAAGAAATCAAGGGGGGAATTAGAGTCTCTACATAGCCACAAGAGAATAAAGTCCAGCCTCCCTTGAATGTCATTGAACCTTACCTAGTTTTAGCCAGATGCATAGTTTGATATGATTTCTGTGAATAGGCTTGAGCAATAAAGCAGTAAATTGGACCTCTGTGTACGGAGCTGATTGTTTATGCCTGACAGTATAATCAGCATGCTGATATCTCACTCCCAATGGTGTCAATGGATGACATCACCCAGCAATTTCACACAAATATTAAATAAGAGTGGAAAGTGGAAAGAGAGCCAAACCCTGAGGCATCCAACTAGAACAAGCATAGGATTAGACCCTCTCCCAGTCCAAAATGGAGCCAGCACTAGAAGGAGAACAAGCACAAAACAATTCCTTGCTTCTAATCCCTTATGCAAGTCCAGAAAGATTCCATAACTGATGCTATTAAAAGCCACTGAGAGACCTATGAGATCAAGGATGGATTCATCACCACTCCCTGAGCCACAAGCGCAACCAATGCTGTCTCGATACTATAACCCAGGTTGAACTCCAACTCAGTTTGTAACTTTATTGTTCATCACCTATGTTACAAGAATCTCATCAGACTGCTTGCCTTACTCTGGGAACAACCAAATAAGGATTTGGGGAGAAGTCATGCTTATGCTGTTTGCAGCTACGCAATAATTTCAAGCTAGGCCCTTGCATGACCCCCTCCCTTCAGCCTAGCTGGCAATTCCCCAACAGGGGTGCTCTTCTTAATTTTCATAGAACATAGTTAAAAATTCTGACCAGCTCCCATTAGTATTTCCTTACTAATTGTATGTTGGCTAGGGGTATCTTTATAAAACTGCCTTTGGGAGTACTGTTTGAGGTAACTAGAATTTAAATACCCAGCAAAACAGAAAAATAATTGTGACTATTTGAGACAGCAAGTTCATCCATTAACAATTACAACAATTACATTACATCTCTTTAGCACAGCAAATATTCCATATCTCTATAAGATAAGAAATATTCCTCATCCATATAGCTGATTATTTGGTGTGTTCTTTTCCATTTTGTAAACATGAATGATTTCAGCTCATAATTTAAAATAATCATTGGGTCAGAAGTCCTTGAGATGTTTCTGGTAAGAAAACAAATGACCACAAGATGGAGCAAGCACGTTTTCCAAGAGAAGAATTTTAAGAATAAGGGTTGCCTCAATTTTATGTGGAAACATATCATTTCAAAAATTCCAAATTTTAGGGTAAGGTGGAAATATTTTGCTCCTATCACTTTCCCTACTTGTGCTGCTTATAGTATGTTAAAGAAGGAGAAAATGTAGATAAAATTTAAATAATTATTCATAATTGGAATAATGCATTTTTCATTTTGCAACAAGTTCCAATAATGAGATGTACAACTAGGACAGATGGAAATGAAAGAGAAAATCACATTTGAAGCCCAGAAGGGGATGGGGGTGATTGTCCATAACAATCCCAGTTTCTCATGACACTTTGGGAAAATTATTTGCCCATTCCTATTCTAAATTATGGCAAGTAATAGTTCGAAATTACAGAAACAAATCTGGTGCCAAGCTATTGAAAACCTATATAGATTAAACAGTGATATGTTCTCCCACATGGCAGCCATATTGTGATGGCAATTTTTATAAGATACTTCAATAAATATTGAATATAAATTAAATCATTAACCAAATAATTTTCTGAACTTCATGTAGCCTAGCAATGTGGAATCCTGTATTTCTTCCACAATGTGTAGTTAGAAACTTGAGGATGGTATAACAATAGAGAATACATGAGATTTTCTAAATATGAATATGAATTACTTGAAAATTACCATCAATTCCTGCTTACAAGTACTGTATTTTTGTTTCACCTAAATTTATCTAAAACATATAATCATTACACTGGATGTCAATGTTAAGAACATATCATTATTTATAAAAAGAGTTTCATAATCTTATTCGCTAAGAACTCTACAGACACCAACTATTTTCACACATCACACTAAGCGGAAGCTTATGCCTTTTAATAGAGTGTTTTTGTCTATTATGTGTTAGTCTACAGACTAATATGGCTCTTCTCTGACTACATAAGTATAATTTGCTTGCATTTAGTTGTACATATTGTGCATGCAAATCATATTTATCCCATCATGTGGCTTATGAATTTAACCCCATATTATGTTTAAACAATTATTACAATGCACTGGTAGAGTCACATGGTATCATTTGCTTTTTACAAAAAATAAAAAACCTAATGTTAAATATCACTTAACTAAATATCTTCTTTTTCTTTACTTTCTTTCCATTTTCTGGAAGTAGCAGAACTACTTCATGATGCCCTTTATTTAATTCTAAAACAATCAGACTTTATTCTCTTACCACTATTATTATTATTATCATCATTATTACTATTATTATTATTATGGCGAAAAGCATTGCTTTCAGCAATGATGTTATTGACTTTTTATCTCCTTCATTCTGAAGCTACTCCTGTGCCAATTTTCCCTTGACTTGTTGTGGTGTATAAACGGGGATAACAATCTGCTGTCCTCCAGATACTTTGGATAACATTTTCCAAAATTACTCAATATTCTAGTTAGGATTTATGGAAACTACAGGCCAAAATACCCGGAAGCTCCAGGCATCCTTCCATTGACCTACACTAGCAGTGATCCATATCCAGAAAAGTTACTATTCATTAACATGTTATTTAGATTGTCAAGTTCTTCATTAGTGCACAATACTGCAATGAGCTTCCTCAGTTGTAGAGCAGAAAATAAATACATACCTCCAAGTCTCTAACCAGGTTTTCCCCGTTGTGCTCCTTTTGCTTATTCTTCTAGCCCTTCCAAGTTTTCTCTCTCTTTCGGCTTTCATTCTCTTGTCATAGCCTCCTCTTCCATTAGTTCCTTCATCAACAGAAGCTACTCTACTCATCGCTTCTTCTTCCACCATTCCCCAGTTCTCCAGGAGCAGAAGCTGAGCGTGAAGGGGAGCTAGATCTGCGATCCTGCAGGACTGTAAATCTAAAACCGCCCAAAGCGACTATATGAAATACAAACGTGATAAATAAAATATAAATAAATAAAACGCCCAAGACAACTCCCGATCCCTCCTTTTCTTCATTTTTTTTTCTCCCCTGGGACGGTTTCTTCTCGGCGTGTTCCGTCCCATCTGCCAGTCTCCTTTGGGTCAGGAAGACAGGCTGCTTCGAGGGGTTCCCCGGGCTGCCCCCGCGGCTGCTCCTCGAGCTTTCTTCCCCCGCTTCATTTCTCCCGCCTGCCGCTCGCCTTCCCTCTCCGACCCTAACCCAGGTCGCCCCACGGCCGCCTCAGCTTGGCCTGGAGCTCCGCCCCCGCCGCACGCACCACCTTTGCCCCGCCCCGCCAGCGGCCGGGGCGCTATTTCAAGGAGGCGGGGCCAGAGGTGTTAGCCCCGCCTCTCGCCGGGTGGTGACTGCGTTGTGTGGGCCCGGCGGCCGCCGCCGCTCTTTCTCCAGCTTCGCCGCCTGTTCCTCCCTCCTCCCTCCCTCCCGCAGTCATCGCCGGGGCGCGCGCCATGGCGGAGCCGTCTGCTTCTCCCGCCTCGCCAGGAGCTCAGCCGCCGGCCGCTGCAACAACCCCCGCCGCCGGGTTTCAGCGGCTGCTCTTCACTCACGACCTGGTGTCCGGCCGGTATCGGGGTTCGGTGCGCTTCGGCCTAGTCCGTGTCATGCATGGCGAGGATTCCGACTCGGAGGAGGAGGACGGCGGACGAGGCCCTGGCGGCCCCGGGGGAGGCGGCCCTGGGGGTGGCGGAGGAGGAGCCGGCAGCTCCGGCGGCTCTGAGTCCGGGGGCCCGGGCGGGGGCGAGGAGAGTCGCGGGAGCCCCCTCCGCCGCGGGTACGTGCGAGTCCAGTGGTACCCGGAGGGCATCAAGCAACACGTCAAAGAGACCAAGGTAAGGAAGCTTCGGGGCCGCTTTTCCCCTCCAGTCTCGTTTGCATTTCATCCGCACACGCGGGTTGAGTGGGTGGGGTGTCCGCAATGGGGCTGAGAAAGCGGCCGCGGCTGCTGAGAAAAGGGTGGGGAAGGGAGAGGCTGGGAGGGTCTCCCGGGATGACAGGTATTGGGGAGCAAATAGGGGGAAAGGTAGCAGCTTTTGGGGTCCTAGAAGAAGTTGGCCTGGAAGAGCGTCGTGTGCATAGGCAGAAGCTGGTCTCTGGCCACGAGAATGTGGAGAGTCTTCCTTGCACCACTACTGGGTTGTCTGGTCTGCAGTGTCTTTTATGCAAAATAGACCTCATTAACGCCGAAGGACTTCTCCTGGTTTCTTCACCAACACTGAAATAAAGTTCCAGGTTTTGGTGGAGGTTTTTATTGCTCTGGGTCATGCATGAAGATTTTATGATGTGTCAAGATGACATTGGCTTCCATTTGACTACCACCTATCTTTGGCCATGATTGCTCTCGTTTTTCTTTACAGACAATATCAGTTGAAGGGAAAAGCTGCATAGTGCCTTTTGAGAAATAGCACTGGGCAGCCTCGGTTGGGCAGCACCTGATTCTTTCATCCTTATCTCATCATTCCCAAAGTCATTTTTAATCATTTGTAAGGAAATACGTTCTTTTCAGTAGCCACAGTAGTTTGGGTCTCACTCGTAATTCTGTGTAGTGTAGGGGGTCTTAGTATATTAGAAATATTCACTCTTGGCTTAATTAAGGTATTTTTCTTGTCTTGCAGTAATATTTTAGTATTATTTTGCTTCTAGTTCACAGAACTGCATCCAACCTCTGTTTTTGACTATATGGTTCTAAATATGAAGGGCGATGGAGCTTTTGGAGGTGTAAAGACATTGCTTAGAACTCTTACCTGGCTCAATGTGTGCTTTATTATTATACATTAGAATTCAGGCACATTTTTGTGAGATATCCTTTAAATTATATTACAGGTGTTTTATATTATCCTGTCTGAAATTGTGGTGTAAAGAAATCATTTTGTATTAATATTGTTTTCACTTACTAAATTATAATAGATTGTGCTTTCTGGAATAAAGAAAATGACTGTAATAAAATACCTTTGAAATGAAAAATATTGGAGATTGAAAATGGAACACCAATTGTCCAGTGTGCATTGAGAAAAAAGAAAATTATTGTCCTGCTATGGTGTGTGAATGTGTATGTTTATATACAGACATACACATACACACAGAGAATAGAAGGCTCAAGGTGATGTAGTCCTAAATGAATTATTTTTAATTTCCTCTGGTGAAGCGATTACCAATGTTTGTAAACTAAATAATTTACATCAAGTTCAAGATTTCAGTAATGTAAAGTTTGAATACAAAGTTGTTGTAAGAGTTCCATTAAAAAAGGAGAGAAGGGATAGGCACTAAGATAATCTAAGAAAACAGATGAATGTCTGGATCTAAAAACTTGTGAACAGATATTATGTCACACATAATTATGAGCTGTTAGAGGTAAGATCTATACACATTGTTGCGAACATAATCTTTTGATCTGGAATTTATGTATGCTTTCCTATAAAGAAAGTGATGCATTCATTTTAAAATAGAATATGTAAGTGCTATTGATGGTTTTTTTTTTTCAATTGTTGCATCCATTAAGTCTAAGAGTAAAAAATTGTGTCACTGGCAAAACAAAAACTTTCAAAGTTTTGTGCCTAAAAGATTCAATATATGAATGGGTGTTGGCCCCAGAGCTATATAAAGATACACACAATGTATTTATAAATTATATATAAGCTTTTGGGGCTTTCCTTTTAATCCTTTGTAGGAATAATCCAGGAATTTGTTTTGTGAAGTCTGATTAAAATTTATTAGGAGATGAACTTGAAAATCATTGGATTGACAAAAACTGATGGATTCAATTCAGAGGCTATAAAAGCCTGTCCTTGTTAGATCCCTACCACCATTTTTGCTTTATAAAACATGTCATATATAATATGCAGGCACAGAATAATACTTAGAGTTGGAGTAGGAGGTTGGATAGAAAATTGCATCGTTCACATCTTAGTGCAATCTACATGCCAAAGGATATATTTAACATTCTCAAATGAACAATCTTTATTATATGTTTCTTATCCAAATGATTACATTTAAACTGTTATAATTATATGACAAATACTTTATTTTTTCCTAAATGAGAAGCTTTAAACTTGGCACTGTCTTCCTTAGATTCATATTATGAATTCATTTATTTTTTTCTAAAAAAGGAAGTTGAAATGAAGCTTTCAGACTAGTATAAACATACAATATTTTTCTTGGGTTTCTTCTCCTTATTATAAGAAACCTGTATCTCAGGAAGTCTTTCTAGATTTATATTACTGTTTGTATGCAAGGTAATTTTATAAACTGTTATTATCCAATACATCTTATTCTCCTCTTTCTTTCCCTCTGGGAATTAGGTGGTGTCATATAAGGAAATATTTTCTGAAATAATTATGGCGTTATTTATATTCCATGCCATTGTTTTGTTGAAAATACTGAGGAATTGGATTGATCTGTGATAAATCCTTTCTTGCTACTTCCAATAATATAAAAAGTTAATCAGATTCTTTTTATTTTCTGCAATTCTGCTTGATTGGAAGATGCAAGCACCTACAAAACTGTAGTTGTACTTAACAAGAGGGAAGAAGTAGTTCTTGTTTTGTACCTTAAAAAGAATTACAAAGATAGTATTTGGGTACCATGTGACAACAGCACTTCTCTCATTCTGATTAAATTGGCATACCTTTTTATGACCACATAATCCCTTGATTCGGGGTAGAGTCGGGGCGACTGGATGGAGCTGAGTGTTTACTGGCCAGATGCCCTTCCTGACATCATACGGAGTTCACAGCAGATATTTTTTCTTTGCGAGTAGCATGGTGGCCTAGTGGTGAAGACCCTCGCTTTCCATTTGGAAGGTTGAGAGTTCAATCCTAGGTAGTGGCAAATGTTTCCTAGGCTTCTGTGTGAACCTGAGAAAAGATACTGTTTCTTTAAAAGTTACATGGATTGATTTCTTAAAGCTTCATTTTTTTTTCTTTCTTGTATGGAAGTCTAAAAAATGTAGCTTATCTATTGCTATACTGGTACAAGTTCTGAAGCATTTCTTCTGAATAATTGTTTTGAAGTATAATCAGCCCTCTTCAGCAATAAAGTTCCAAGGACCAAGTGACATCCAATTGAAGCGTGTCCAACCTTTTGGCTTGCCTGGGGCCGCATTGAGTGAAATGGAATTGTTTTGGGACACATAAAAATATATATAATATAATTAATTATACAAATAGCAAAGTTCCTTTTTATATATTTTTAGTTACATCCCATTACTAGATGTCCGGGGCTGCAGGTATCCTGCAGGCTGTGGGTTGAATACTCCTGGTCTAGAGGAAAATTAGGATGAATTTGACCAAACATGAGCTAAAGCTGCTATTAAGGCCTACCTCAGGGGGGTAAGAGCAGCAAAGTGTCAACTCTTATTGCATCTGTAGAATACTGCCCAGTGGCCCTCTGTGTAAGATCACCTGATCCCTGTTGGGCAAGGCCCCCGGGAGGCCTACCTTCAGAGCTGTACAGGAAATTTTCTGTGCATCTAGCAGTTAAAATCACTCTGACCTGATCCCACTTGTATGCCAAGCACAGACAAGTCCTGTGGAGATGCCCGGGGAATGAACTTACCTAATTATCTGGAAACAGCTTGATCCAGTTGGATCTGAAGAAATGGACAGGATCTGTCAGACTGTAAACTAACTTGTGAGTTAGATCTGTGTCCCTCCTGGTTGGCCAAGGCTGCTCAGGAAGCTTCACGTGAGTGGGTTTAAGCAGTGGTGAATTCAACCTTAAGGGGATCTTTTTCAGCTCTTTTAAAGAGATACTGGTGTGCCCTCTTTTCAAGAAGCCATCACTGGGCTCTACCATTGCGGACAATTTTTATCCAATCTCCCACCTCCTTTTTTAGGGGTGGTGGTTGAGACAGTGGTAGAAGTACAACTCCAGAGGATCATGAATGACATGGATTATTTGGACTCCTTTTGGTCAGGTTTCAGGAACACAGACAGCACTAGTCACACTTCTTGATGATCTCTGGCAGGAGCAGGATGGAGATAATGCATCCATCCTTGCTTTTCTTGACTTCTTGACGGCTTTTGATACTTTTGGGTGAACTTAGGAAGTTGGAGGTTGGTGGCACAATTCTATGCTGGTTCACCTCTTTCCTCTGAGGCCAGTTCCAATTATTATTGGTAGGGAGTGAAAGGTCCAGCCTATAACTCCTTTTTGTGTAGGTTGCCACAAGGCTTGGTTTCTGTCTATTCTTTTAAAAAATTACACAAGGGTGCTGGATTAGAACATCCATCACCATAGGATGAGACATCATCAGTTTGCTGATACTACCCAACTATACATCTCTATCTAGGGTAAATTAAGTGATACTGTGGATATTTTTTTGTAGTGCCTGTAAGGCTGTGGTGGCCTTGATGAGGAATAATTGTAAGATGGAATAGCTGGTAGGTAGGGGGGGCTCCTCTGTATCCAGGGTTTTATCAGTTTTGATCTTGGATGAGGTTACACCTCTCAAGACATACTCTGTGTATAATCTGGAGGTCCTCCTAGACTCCTCGAGAAGCAGGTGGCAGACATGGCTAGGAGGGCCTTTGTCCAATTATGTGCCAGTTATGCTCCTTTCTGGATCAAGAGGCTCATTCATGGCCTGGTCATCTCCCTTATGGTTTATTGCAATGCGGACTATGGACTATTGCATAGGGCTATCCTTGAAGAGTATCCAGAAGCTTCAGCTAGTGCAGAATGCGGCCACAGAAGCAATCTTGGGTGTCTCAAGGATGGTGCATGTATTGCCTTTACTGCATGAGCTGCATTGGGTCCATTTGTTTCAGAGTTCAATTCAAGGTGTTGCTCATGACCTTTAAAGCCCTACATGTTGTGCAACCAGGTTACCTGG